GGGAGGGGATGAAGCCGCCCGCCGCCATTTTGCTTGTGGGCTGCCGCCCGCTGTTGCCTCTCCACCGAGGCTCGAAGACAGCGAACTGGAGGCAGCGAGGCGGACAGTCTGTCTTTTCACAACAGATGCATTCAACAACTCATCGAAGGCTTGAGGAGGTTTCGGTATTTGTTGGGATTGGTACTTTGCCTCTTTCCCGCAGTGGCCCTAGTCTGGATGTGGGTGAGCTCGGGCACGCCACCACGGGGTGGACGGAGAGTGACTGGAGGGCCTGGGGACGACCCCTCTCTCCTATGACCCTCCGAAAGCGATGCCAAAAGCCATGTCCTTTCTCCCACCTCCCAAGCAACCCCGGTCCCATCTCCCCTTCCCTCTTCTCCTCCCCCACCCTGGTCTGGCCTCCAGCGGCGGGTGAACCCGGTTGGGGTGTCACTTGACGCCCACTAGGGGCTGAGGAGGCTCCAGTGCGCAGGCTCCGGGCGCCGGATAAAAGCGGAGCTGGCGAGTCCAGCACAGTCTTGATGGAGGAGCAAGAAACGGAAGAGGTCGGGGGGAGAAGCAGCAGGAAAATTGCAGCCACCGTCCACGCCGCCTCCCTGCCACCGTGTATCGGGGTAAAAGCTGCCGTTGCCGTCGGTGCAGTTGCCGTCGCTGCCTCCTATACTTCTCTTGGCCTCGGGGAAGGATTGCCCCGCCGGCGGGACAGTGTGCGGGGAGGGGAGCGGGAATTCCTTTACGTGGCGGTGATTAAACGAGGGAGGGACAGACAGTTATCTCGACGAAAAAAGGGGGGAGACCAAGCAATAAAACAAGGGTTTCCCCCACTAAAATGACACGGCGGCTCCGCTCTTGTTTTCGGGGTCTTTCCCCGAAATGGCGGTTTCCGTCTTCCTCTTGCCCCACCGCGACCCGGAGCGCTTCGTAAGCGGAGTGGGGAGAGGCAGAGGCGGTCTCGGCAGCCAATCGGCGCCTGATGTGCTTTGTCGGGCACGCGGTGATTGGTTGGCGATGACCTCATCCTGCAGCAGCGGGTGGGGCCAAAGCCGTAGGGGGAGGCTGTTGCAAAGGCAGAGAGGGAGAAGTGACGATGGTGATCGTTGCTGCCGCGGCCGAATTGGAACCAAAGCAGTGGCGAAGGGAATCGCAAGGCTCTTCCCTGACTATTTTCTCCTGTCCCTGCGCGAGGTGAGGGCCCCGGCTCGGCCTCTGCGAAACTCTGAGGCGCTGGCGCGAACGAGGAAGCACGATTTCTCCCGTGACTTTTGTAACTGCGTCAGGGCAAGATGGCGCTGGGTCTCCTTGGGGCGCGGGGGGAGAGGCACGTCCACCGCCGCCGCAGCGCATGTGACCGGGCTGCATTCCTGTGGGGTTTGGCTCCGGCCCAGGCTGGGGCGGGGGAAGGGACAGGGCTTGGGCGGAGGAGACTGTGGTGCGGTCGGCGTTGGCGGCCCGAAGAGGAAGAGTTGACTGTTTGAAAGCGCTTCCCCTCCCCCACCCAGCCGAGCAGCCGCGGCTCCTCGGGGAAAGCCCCCGGAGGACACTCCTTGTGGGGAGTGACGGCTGTTGGTGGAGAAGGTTTGGCGCCCTATTTTCTTATTCTGCCTTTCTCCTTGCAAAGTATGCTTACGTAAGGTGGTAGGTCCCTGATGAGGGAATCGGAGTCAACTGAGAGTCCTGAGGGCCCCTGGGATGCGTGGCTAGGAGAGACGAGCTCCTAGATGCAACGTCAAGGAGTATCGCTTATTTTCCGAGAAAACGTAGTTTCTCTGATTCAAGTAGAAAAATGTTTTCAAAGTTTGGAAACAAGTGTAGAGGTTCACCCAGGAACACTTCATTTGCTGAAAGGGTACAGGCAGCCAAGGATCCTATCTGAATTTAAGGGCACTTTTCAGACTTTATGTGCCTGCTTCCCAGCATCCTCTCTGTCTGTATATCCTATAAGAATGTGTAATCTTATCGGTGGGTTTTTTTAATGGCATCATTAGTAATACAGAATAAAAGCTGCTAGTGTTTTAATCTATATGAAATTGTAAAGCTGTTTTCACTACTTTCGGTCGTCCTTTTACGGTTTTAAAAATAAAAGATGGAAGCCGGGCTCGGTGGCTCAGCCTGTAATCCCGCGCCTTTGGGAGGCTGAGATGAGTGGATTGCCTGAGCCCGCGGGTTCGAGACCCGCCTGGGCAGCGAGACCTCATCTCTACAATAAATAAAAAAAAATCAGCCGGGCGTGGTAGCGCGCGCCTGTAATTCTGGCTACTCGGAAGGCGGAGGCGGAAGGGTCCCCGGAGCCCAGCAGGTCGAGGCTGCGGTGGCCGGGAGCGGCCACTGCACTCTAGTCTGGGCGACAGAGTGAGACTCCAACTCAAAAATAAATAAATAAATAAAAGATGGAAACGTAAGCACTTCTGGTAAATACGAAGTTTCCTGCACCACTATGAAATATTAAATTCCACCACTTTATAGCACTTTTATAGTAGTATGAATTATAATTTTAAGTTTCGAGACCTTGGTAGGTGGAAATCTAAAGCAGTTCTTAAAGGCTCTTGGCATATTCAGTAAGGGAGACTCAGTTTGTATCTTATTTTCCACTTGGCCAAACTCTGGCTATGGTCGGCAAAAACAAAGCTAGTGAGAATTGTTCAAGGGCTTCTTCCCTTTGGTGGTGATGAGACGGAGGAGTTACTCAAAGACATTTACACCTAAAATCTGACCTACTTTTTGCCAGAAACACGCATTTGGTGTTTAGGAAAAATTGGTCGATGGACCTGAAAAAAACCTGGGGCCAGGGTTGCGCTATTTTAGTCTTCTTTATTGTGGGCTCTTGATAGATAGAAAACAAGATTGGGCTTTTAATTCACTTGTGTATCCTTAAGTCCTTACTAGTTTTTGTGGAAGTCAGTAGATGAAGGGAAAGAGGCCGTTTGCCAAGCAAATGGAAACATTTGTTTTGTACTTTTAATCAGCATGTACCTTCATTGTTCCAAAGTGCCAGACCCATGAACCTCTTGAGCTGAGTTTTTCTGGCCTTTCCTATGGCGTTTTTCCTGAATGCCTTGATGAATTTTGTGTTCTCCCTGGGCACTTTCATTTTTGTCTTTTATTTTCTAATAACTCCAATTTTCACCTCCATTTTAGTTCTGCTAGCTTCAGAGTTACAGATGCGATCTTAAGGTTTACTGGGCGTCACCAGCTTCCTGAGCTCATAAAAAAACTAAGCTTGGTACTTGATTGCTAAGAATTTTATTCACCCATCTCCTCACAAAGATGATGAGTACATTTTCCTTCTTTTTCTTATTTTTGTGGAAATTGTCTCTTATTTTCAGTAACTGCAGTTGAGATAATCTTACTGGGTTTTCATAGCACATACCCTGATGTGCTAAAATGCATACCATGTGTAGCGTGCTGTGCTGTTTTACACCTTTGAGCCTTTGTCCCACTACCTAGAGTGCCTCTTACCGCTTCTGGATAACTTCTGGATAACAAAACGAGCCATTTCCCTGTCTCTTAAAATGCTACCAAATCCCTACTCCCAAGTAGATGAGCCATTCTTTACTTGATGACCCAGCCCAATGCTTGCACCTAGTTGGCATTCAGGTATATCTGTTTCTTTAGAGATAAGTCTAAACTGTGGAATAATTGGCTTTAAAACTTGATCAACACTTTGGATAAGAGATGAAAGATTAGGGAGACTCCGGAAAGGCAAGAGGCAGCTGATGGCCCCCAAGATAGTTCTGCACTCAAAAGTGGAAGAAGGAAAAAAACTACGCTGGGCATTTTTGAATATCCATATTTCTCAAATCTGGAAGCCGTTTTCACCTAAACTTCAACGGTATATAAACGCTAGTGGTGACTATATTGATTTAGCAACTCTGTCTTACTCAGAGCTTGTGATTGTGTTAATTCTTTATTAGAGAAAAATATTTTCTAGTATTTTCCTTCACTGCTTATGTTTGCCGAAAGTACTGAAGTATGCAGGGTTTATCTTGCATTATATATTCTCCTTAGGCAATTTCTTATTTGAAAAACTTGGACTTTGAAGTTTTTTGTTTGCTCCTTTGTTGTAAGCACACACAAAACAGCAGCATTGTCTTTTATGGTATAGAATATGCTTTCAGTCAACAATTGTCTTATATAGTTCTATTCCTAATAAACTAAATTGTTTATCAACCTAAGATAAATGCTATAGTATTTCTTGTCTTGTAAAGATAATGTTTTTAAATACCCCTACCAAAGTATATTGACCGATGTTTGTTTCTCAAATTTATTTATTTGTTTGTTTGTTTGTTTATTTTTGAGTTGGACTCATTCTGTCGCCCAGACTGGAGTGCAGTGGCTGCTCCCGGCCACCGCAGCCTCCACCTGCTGGGCTCCGGCGATCCTTCCGCCTCAGCCTTCCGAGTAGCTGGAACTACAGGCGTGCGCTACCACGTCCAGCTAAATTTTGATTTATTGTAGAAATGAGGCCTCGCCAAGTTGCCCGGGCGGATCTCAAACCCATGGGTTCAGGCAATCCACCCACCTCGGTCTCCCAAAGCACTGGGATTACAGGCTGAGCCACCAAGCCTGGCCTGTTTCTCAAATTTAAAACTATATTCTGGTTACTGAGGCAAATTGGAACTCCAGTCTAATCTCAGTCAACAGATAATTTGCATTCCTGCCGTAATCAACTGAGAGAACCTAATTCCTGGCCCTTTCAGTGAGGTTGATAAGATTAGCTATTTGGCATTGGTTCACAACTATATATAATCACAGCACTTTGGGAAGCTGAGTTGAGAGGATTGCCTGAGCCGGTGGGTTCCCAGACCAGCCTGGACAAAATGGTGAGGCCTCATCTCTACAGTAAAAACAAAAATTAGCTGGGCGTGGTGGTGAGCACCTGTAGTCCCAGCTACTCGGAAGGCTGAGGCGGAAGGATCGCCTGAGCCCAGCAGGTCGAGGCTGCGGTGGCCATGAGTGTGCCACTGCA